TTTCCAGTATTGATGCGTCAGATGGAAGATTCATGCCTGGCAAGGTGGGTGAATGACGATCACATCCACCCAAACTGTGTAATTAGAAAGTCACATTCAACCAGTCAAGTGGTTCTAGCCTTCCACATCTGTGCTTATTTGCATTAGTGGATATTAGACCTGGTGCTGAATTGAGATACGATTATGCGTTGACAACTTACCATGGCGACAGGTACATGTTTCGTTTGTTATTCTCATATATAGATTTGCTAAAAGGTGGACCTTAGAATGGGTAAATTAGCCACTAACCTACTTTCTGACATTCAAGAATTAATTCAGTGTTTTAAAACTGCTAACTTAATACACAAAGGTGGACCTTATAATTTGTAAATGTGCTATACTGAGCTGACAAAGTGGACCTCACTTCAAGTGTTTTTGATGGTCTAAGCTAAAGTTTTAAAGGAAAAGAAAGATACCTTTAATACTCAGCATAGACTTGATAAACTACCTAAATCAATGAAAGTGGAACCAACAGTGTCTACAATTGATCAAATAATCTAGCAAAGGTGACTTCCAAGATAATTTCAAATGATCGTAACCTAATAAGGTGGAACCTTTATTACCATGGAATAAGCCAATGTTATGATTTGCTGAACTTTGTATAGCTTAACCAAGATACATGGACCTAACAATGTATAACATTGTGCAAAGAAAGTTTTACTAAACTAAACTAACAAAAATGAACCTTACAATGTGTAGACTCGCTATAAAAGAAACCTAACAAATATGGACCTCACAATGTTTAAGCTACTTTTATGATGACCTTGTTTTATTTTACATAAAAAAAGATATTACAGAGCTTTAATTAGGTTAATATTGCATTCTACATTTTCGTTCAAATCTCTAATATTGCTTCCCAATAGCCACCATCTGGGACAGATGTGAATGTGAAAGAGGATGATTGCAAGCCAACATGTGATCTGAGTTTAAATTGTTATTCATATGAAAGCTGAAAGCCTATAAAATGTGGCCTACTTTTTTGGTGAAAGTAGATCTTTTTTCCACTGAAAAGAAAAAAAAGCTAGAGTATATGATTACTATTGCTTAGAGCGCTTAGAGACTACTTTAATACTTACTACTTACTTACTATATTCAATTTTGTTTTCAAATGAAGAATAAAAAGTTGAGCATAATTCACACAAATTATTTTGTCTGCAAAGTAAAGTGTTTTGGTAAGCCTGATATACGTATTTGTAAGGGGACAAAACTTCAAACCACCACTAATTATAATGATTATCCAATGATCTTATATTTTGAAACAATGAAGGAGGATGCTGCCAGACAGAGGGAACGTGAGACGGCAGAGCAATTGGTGAATACAGCAGAACGGAAACGTTTGAGAGAGGAGCTGAGTGGGAGGCTGAGTGGGAGGCCGAGAAACGAAAGAGGGAAGAACGAGTTAGACAAGAAGAGGAGGAACAGAGGAGGACGGAGGAAGAAGAAGAAAGGATTAGGGATTTGAAAATTCAGGTAAGAACTTCATTATTTAAATTGTGAGATTGCAATGAAAAAGAATAACGGATTAGGAAGTCAGAAAGATGGGTAAGAACTTCTTTATTTAAAGGAAAACGAACCCTTCCTTCTTGTCTTTTCATATTGATTCTACTCTTCTTCTTTAAAAAAACAAGTATTTGTACTATCTGCTTCCCTTTTCTCCTTTAAGTGATATTTATGTACTTTACTTTAGAATCAAACATTCAACAAGGCTTTATGCTCTTTTTCATTAACCCTTGTTATATACTAATTGTTTCTTTCCAATTTTGTAAATCTTAGTGTTTACTTATATCTAATAGTTTGATCTGATCATCTTCCTATTTTTTATTTTTACATCCTCTTCACGTAGAATCAGTTTGAAAAATACAAAAAAAAAAAAAACATCCATAATCAAGAAGAATGACAAAATATTCCTGTTTCTTTCTTACAGTCACAGTCAGGCAGTTCATATACACCGGATAGTGAAGAAGAAAGTGAAGAAGAATTCTTCCCAAGAAGTTTGAGAAACAAGGCTTCTAATAGGGTAAGAATATTCATTGTTTCTATGTATCATTGAACCCAATAACCCTATTTGTTAATCTTTTTTGGCAAAAATCATATCACATAACAAATATAACAAACATGAGTGAAGACAAAGTCGATAGAAAACATATAAATCACGATAGCAGGTGCATAAATTAATCGTGAACAAAACATATTGAGAGTTGTCAACAAATTAATGTCAATACCTATACGGTCGTGTCAAAAATGTCATATAGAAAAATCATATAGCCATAACTTTATTATTCCATTCACATTTGTGCTGACTTGTTTTATTCTGTCTGAACTTTGATTTCAAACTTGTTGACTTGAGGGTTTGGGTTTCTTTTTAATCTGTGCCCACAGCTCCATTCACTACCTGTAGTTTCCTTAAAACCACCCCTCCCACCTCCCACTCCTTCAATTTCTCCTTCCTCTTCTTTCACATCTGCTCTTTCTCTTCCTTTCAACTACTTTCCTCATACTCCTCCCGTTCCTGTTACTTTTTCTTCTTCCTCATCTTCTCTTTCTCATTCTCTTTCCCTACATCCTGTCCCCTTTTCTTACTCTGAATCTTCACTTACATGTCTTTCAGGCAATTATCTCTTTGCTCCTCCTCCTTCTCCTGTCCGATTTTCCCCTTCTCATTCTCCTTCCCCTTCTTCCTCTCCTCCTCCTTCTCCTCCTTCCTCTCCTTCTCCTACTGCTCCGCGTTCATCTCCTCCTATTTCTACTAATGCTTTTCTTCCCCGACCCTCATATTCTCTTCCTGTTTTTTTCCATAATACTCTGTACTTTTTTCTTGCTCTATTACTTCTTCTTCTTCTTCTTTTCATTATATTTGTCATTCTTTTGTATGTTCTTGAGTAATTTTCTCAAAGCTATTTTTATTGATTTCCCCACTTTTATTTCATTTCTAGTGGGGTGGTGTATTTCCTTCCTCTTTGTTTCCACTTCTCCTCCTCTTCTCCCCCTTCCTCTCTAACTCGATCCTCATTCTCCTCCTTCTCCTCATTCTCCTCCTCTCCTTCCTCTCATGCTATTCCTTCCTTTTTTCTTGCTCCCTTATTTCTTCTTCTTTTCATTCTACTTCTGATTTTTTTTTTATGTTCTTGACACTGTTATTCATGTCCCCCCTTTTATTTTGTTTCTACTGGGGTGGGAGGGGGTGGGGACGTGGCTGACAAAGGAATTAGCCAATTGGTAAGATATTAACTTATTATTAGGTTGAATCGTATTTCACTGGTAGATGAAGGGTGCCCATTCAAGCGTAGCGAGCGTAATCTCAATGGTATCCGAATGGTATTTAAATGGCGTTTGTGAATGGTATCTGTATGGTATTTTCAGTGGTACTTCCGAATGGTATACCATTGGTATAATAGTGGGTTCTTGTATAGCGCTCATGTCAGTCAGATTTGACCCTCCTGGCGCTCCCGATTATTACCCTGGCTTTAGCACGGCTGCCATACGGCGCTCCAGCATTTCAAGGAATCAATTCCTACCAGGTACCCATTTACTTCACCTGGGTGTAGTGTGGCAAATGTAGATCAATGTCTTGCCAAAGAACATTAGCGTGGCGGCATAACATTGAACATTTTTTTGTAAGGGTTGTTTGACATTGCAAATACACCTAAATACCCCATTTGTTTGACAATGTAAATGCACCCAATGAAACATTCTATTTCTTCAACTGTGCAAACACACCAATTCAACACCCTATTTGTTTGACAATGTAAATTCACCAATGAAACAAACAAATAGGGTATTGAATAGGTGTATTTGCAATGTCAAACAAATGGGTGTTGAATTGGTGTGTTTGCAATGTCAAACAAATGGGGTGTTGAATAGGTGTATTTGCAATGTCAAACAAATGGGGTGTTGAATTGGTGTGTTTGCACAGTTGAAGAAATAGAATGTTGAATAGGTGCATTTGCTTTGTCAAACAAATGGGGTGTTGAATTGGTGTGTTTGCACAGTTGAAGAAATAGAATGTTGAATAGGTGCATTTGCTTTGTCAAACAAATGGGGTATTGAATAGGTGTATTTGCAATGTCAAACAAATGGGGTGTTGAATTTGTGTGTTTGCACAGTTGAAGAAATAGAATGTTGAATAGGTGTGTTTGCAATGTCAAACAAATGGGGGTGTTGAATTGGTGTGTTTGCACAGTTGAAGAAATAGAATGTTGAATAGGTGTGTTTGCAATGTCAAACAAATGGGGTGTTGAATTGGTGTGTTTGCACAGTTGAAGACATAGAATGTTGAATAGGTGCATTTGCTTTGTCAAACAAATGGGGTATTGAATAGGTGTGTTTGCAATGTCAAACAAATGGGGTATTGAATAGGTGTGTTTGCAATGTCAAACAAATGGGGTATTGAATAGGTGTGTTTGCAATGTCAAACAAATGGGGTGTTGAATTGGTGTGTTTGCACAGTTAAAGAAATAGAATTTTGAATAGGTGCATTTGCTTTGTCAAACAAATTGGGTATTGAATAGGTGTATTTGCAATGTCAAACAAATGGGGTGTTGAATTGGTGTGTTTGCACAGTTAAAGAAATAGAATGTTTCATTGGGTGCATTTGCTTTGTCAAACAAATGGGGTGTTGAATTGGTGTGTTTGCACAGTTGAAGAAAGAGAATGTTGAATAGGTGCATTTGCTTTGTCAAACAAATGGGGTGTTGAATTGGTGTGTTTGCACAGTTGAAGAAATAGAATGTTGAATAGGTGCATTTGCTTTGTCAAACAAATGGTGTTGAATTGGTGTGTTTGCACAGTTGAATAAATAGAATGTTGAATAGGTGCATTTGCTTTGGCAAACAAATGGGATTTGAATAGGTGTATTTACATTGTCAAACAAATGGGGTGTTGAATTGGTGTGTTTGCACAGTTCAAGAAATTGAATGTTTCATTGGGTGCATTTGCTTTGTCAAACAAATGGAGTGTTGAATTGGTGTGTTTGCACAGTTGAAGAAATAGAATGTTGAATAGGTGCATTTGCTTTGTCAAACAAATGGGGTGTTGATTGGTGTGTTTGCACAGTTGAAGAAATAGAATGTTGAATAGGTGCATTTGCTTTGTCAAACAAATGGGGTATTGAATTGGTGTGTTTGCAATGTCAAACAAATGGGGTGTTGAATTGATGTGTTTGCAATGTCAAACAAATGGGGTGTTGAATTGGTGTGTTTGCACAGTTGAAGACATAGAATGTTGAATAGGTGCATTTGCTTTGTCAAACAAATGGGGTAGTGAATAGGTGTGTTTGCAATGTCAAACAAATGGGGTATTGAATAGGTGTGTTTGCAATGTCAAACAAATGGGTATTGAATAGGTGTGTTTGCAATGTCAAACAAATGGGGTGTTAAATTAGTGTGTTTGCACTGTTCAAGAAATAGAATGTTGAATAGGTGCATTTGCTTTGTCAAACAAATGGGGTATTGAATAGGTGTATTTGCAATGTCAAACAAATGGGGTATTGAATAGGTGTATTTGCAATGTCAAACAAATGGGGTATTGAATAGGTGTGTTTGCAATGTCAAACAAATGGGGTGTTGAATTAGTGTGTTTGCACAGTTGAAGAAATAGAATGTTAAATAGGTGCATTTGCTTTGTCAAACAAATGGTGTTGAATTGGTGTGTTTGCACAGTTGAATAAATAGAATGTTGAATAGGTGCATTTGCTTTGTCAAACAAATGGGGTGTTGAATTGGTGTGTTTGCACAGTTGAAGAAATAGAATGTTAAATAGGTGCATTTGCTTTGTCAAACAAATGGTGTTGAATTGGTGTGTTTGCACAGTTGAATAAATAGAATGTTGAATAGGTGCATTTGCTTTGGCAAACAAATGGTGTTGAATTGGTGTGTTTGCAATGTCAAACAAATGGGGTGTTGAATTGGTGTGTTTGCACAGTTGAAGAAATAGAATGTTGAATAGGTGCATTTGGTTTGTCAAACAAATGGGATATTGAATAGGTGTGTTTGCAATGTCAAACAAATGGGGTGTTGAATTGGTGTGTTTGCAATGTCAAACAAATGGGGTGTTGAATTGGTGTGTTTGCTAAGTTGAAGAAATAGAATGATGAATAGGTGCATTTGCTTTGGCAAACAAATGGGGTGTTGAATTGGTGTGTTTGCACAGTTCAAGAAATTGAATGTTTCATTGGGTGCGTTTGCTTTGTCAAACAAATGGGGTGTTGAATTGGTGTGTTTACATTGTCAAACAAATGGGTGTTGAATTGGTGTGTTTGCACAGTTGAAGAAATAGAATGTTGAATAGGTGCATTTGCTTTGTCAAACAAATGGGTGTTGAATTGGTGTGTTTGCACAGTTGAAGAAATAGAATGTTGAATAGGTGCATTTGCTTTGTCAAACAAATGGGGTATTAAATAGGTGTATTTGCAATGTCAAACAAATGGGGTGTTGAATTGGTGTGTTTGCACAGTTAAAGAAATAGAATGTTTCATTGGGTGCATTTGCTTTGTCAAACAAATGGGGTGTTAAATTGGTGTGTTTGCACAGTTGAAGAAAGAGAATGTTGAATAGGTGCATTTGCTTTATCAAACAAATGGGGTGTTGAATTGGTGTGTTTGCACAGTTGAAGAAATAGAATGTAAATAGGTGCATTTGCTTTGTCAAACAAATGGTGTTGAATTGGTGTGTTTGCACAGTTGAATAAATAGAATGTTGAATAGGTGCATTTGCTTTGGCAAACAAATGGGATTTGAATAGGTGTATTTACATTGTCAAACAAATGGGGTGTTGAATTGGTGTGTTTGCACAGTTGAAGAAATTGAATGTTTCATTGGGTGCATTTGCTTTGTCAAACAAATGGGGTGTTGAATTGGTGTGTTTGCACAGTTGAAGAAATAGAATGTTGAATAGGTGCATTTGCTTTGTCAAACAAATGGGGTGTTGAATTGGTGTGTTTGCACAGTTGAAGAAATAGAATGTTGAATAGGTGCATTTGCTTTGTCAAACAAATGGGGTGTTGAATTGGTGTGTTTGCACA